TGCCGCACAAAACTGAAATGGATTGTGCACGAATTTTTAAGAATTGACACTTTCCATTCTAAAATTTCAGGTCACTGTTTGCATCAGAAAAAGAATCCGTGCCTGCCTTCTGGTGTTTCCTGAACCACCCCTTGTTCTTGTACTTGTTATTGTCTATATCGAGGACTATAAGAGTATTGCTATTGGAAAAAATAAGCTAGATTATTCCTATCATGCATGTAACAATTGTGTACCACCATCTCAGCTCTAGGATATTTATTTATTTATTTATTTATTTATTTCATTTCTTTCCCAGGCTCATTTTCTTTGAAGTTGTGTGCGTGTATGTGTGTGTGTGTGTGTGTGTGTGTGTGTGTGTGTGTGTGTGTGTGTGTGTGTGTCTGCATTTGTAAATACTTTTTGGTTTTGAGTATTTACTTTATTAGCATTTCAGTTCACACTTTAATTTTCGCCCCTTCCCCGTCTAGGCTTTGCCCCTTAGCGGACGGGCCAGCATCTTTGGTGCAGTTCATTCTCGCAGGACAGAAAGGCCCGGAGCGCCTGCTGCGGGCTGAGCCTGTGTCTGAGCTGTTTCCGCCCCACTCCTCCTCATTGCCACTGCCATCACCGTCGTTTTTCACAGTTGTGCAGCAGGTTTCATGCAGCACAGCGCATTCAAATATTTCCAGCAGGACAGGCAAGGTGGATGTTTATTATAAGTAATTAGCACGTTTGCCTATCAGACTGTAACGTGCACGCTCATCTTGTTACTGTCTACGTTAGATAGTAATCAGTATGACTGGACTGCTTCCCAGTAATTAAGATTCCTAATAAGCTGTTTCTTGATATCAGTGTTGCTCTTCCATGAATTCTGTTCACGGTCAAGGCAGCAACGTTACCTAGTGGCAAAAGTGCTCTTACCAGCCTAACTGCCTTATTGGGAAAAGCAAGAAGGTGTGACACATTTTATACAAATCCTTAATTAACAGTGAGTGGAATCTACGGTAATCTCTGAGTTCCAGGTGACACTGTTTCTATTTGACCACTCTCCTCAATTGACTACAGCCTCTTCTGTGCACTGAGAAGATATTCAGTCATTAATTGATGATGTTTATATAATTTATGATATTTAACCAATAATAGCTTTTCACATTTCTTCCAAAGTAAAAAGCTAAAAGCAATTTCCTTCAGAATTACCACAAACACTGTAGTCTCTAGTTATATAGAAAATAAATGGACAACAAATATTTCACGCTTTCTTTCCCATCTGTTTAAACTTAACATATTTAGCTAAACTATACATTCATGGTGTGGTGCATTTTAATCCTCGCAGATTCTATGACATTGAAACTCTACCCTCTGCTCTAGTAGAATGCCTCATTTTCCATTCTAGCACTAGCGGCATTCCATTTGACATTTGATGCCCCTGAGATTTTTATAGAATCTAGGTTATGAGATTCACTGGCCACCTATTTCTGAGTGGGGGTCTGTGTCACTTTTCCCGGAAGCTTTGCATTGTACTTTACATTCACATGATTTTGCTTATTTAAAAAAAAAGGCATGCAGTGACAAAAAACAAAAAAACAAAAAAACTTTGCCTAATGTTACTATTGACTAGAGAGCTGTTTGTTTTAAAGATAATTTTTTCCAGAAAAAAAACACAATACAAACTAATTCCTCTTATTCTCTTACATTATTCGTATTTTGTTTGGTCATCCCAGAAAATACGGTGAACTTGGCAGTATTGTTTTTCCTTGGAAAAGTGAGATTTTTATGAAACAGCTTCCCAAAATGATACAAAAAGTTTTAGAGCTCACACTGTGATCTTGGTGATTTGAACCCTTTGTACTCTACCTATTCAGTTCAATTTGGAACTTGCTTTAGTGCAAAAGTCAGGCTGAGTGCTTACATGTGGTAATACACTTACCTGCAGTACTTAAAGACCTTGAAATTTTACTTCCTTGCATGCGCCAAGGGCTTGCTTTGACACTCCACAAATGTTTACATAACAGCCCTCACCAGTTCTAAAGATGCTGGGTATAATTTTACTCTCTGTAATCTGAGTATTGTCATAAGCACTACCACCACGACATGCTGTCCATCCGTGATGTTAGGAGGTGCGACAGTAGCCACTGCGCTGGGCACAGTGTCCAGTTCTGCAGTGCTGTGGTGAGCTTACCCATTGCTTAGCAATCCACAACCACATATGAAGCCAGGCATGCTAGACCTGATATTTAAAAGTCATGAACAAGCAAAGTAATATTATATTTTGTAGCAATGTTATTGCTTTATTTAAAAAATAATTCCAAGAGAACTTGAAAGTAATACTTTGTCTCTCTGCATCTTCTTATTTGTGTCCAATTCTATAGGCTGCTTATGTTAGACAATAGAATGAAGAATCCCACAGTTTGACAAATCTCGGTTTGTCAAAATGAGTTTTAATGATTCTACGTAGAGCCAATGTTGGAGTTTTGGCATGCAAAATGTTTTGATTTGACAAATGAGGAACAAAGAGATGAATCTTCCATATCAAATTGCCTTTCTTAGAGCTGGCCAAATAGCTCAGCTGATTAAAGCACGTGCAAGCTGGTGCAGGGGCCAGGGGTTCGATCCCTGAGCCTGCTGAGTCAGCCTTGCCCCCTGGCCACTGAGACAGCAATTGAGACTGGGCAAGGTGGTGCGCGCCTGTAATCCCAGCTCTTAGGTGGCTGTAAACAGGCAGATCACTACAAGTCCGATCTAGTAGTGAGACCCTGAACACCCTGTAGACCCTTCCCTAAAATACAAAAAAAAAATTCCTTTCTTATCCAGCCCACTTTATTGTTTTTCTTCAGAACAATACGCTTTTCCATAAAATATTCCTATTTTCATACTAATGCTTCTATAGTCCTCAGAATACACAACTGGTTTAAAAAACACTTATAATGTGTCCGATATTACTTTATAGTTGTTAGTTGCATGGTGACACTATTTGAACAGTTCACTAATAGTTTTCTTATTTTGACACTGTCTTCATAAAACGCATGAAATTATTATCTACAGCGCCTGAAGCTTCAGCCACCTGCTTCACAGCTTTTCTTCAGACGAGGCTGTCCACAGGCATTAAAAGTCTTTCTCTCAGCTTTCCTACAGCTCCTGCTGTCACTTAAGGCTTCTTTTTGTTACTTTGCACTCCGGACATGATTTTTAAAAAGCCTGAATCCAAGGCAATGGCTGTTCTAGACAGGAGTGCTGATTCTCATCGGTTTACTTGTATTTTGCAATGTTCGTTCCAAGTATGGTTTGAAGCTGGTGTTAGTGTGGTAGCTCAGCCCCTGAGTTACCTGGCAACGAAGCTGATTTGATATATCAAATCTTGCAAAGGTGGTGTTGATCCACCGCCAACTGGAACATTGAACTGGAAGAAGTCAATAACTTTATGTGAAGCCAGTTTAACTGAAATTACTTTCAAGAGTTTTCTTCATAAGATTTTGTCACAATTCACTACATACTGAATCCAAAACTTCTATAGATCACAGTAATGTATTTTGGTAAATGGTACAAGCAGGCCCCACTGGTATTAATACATGTTTGCAGTGTACAATGCTTACTTTCCCTGTGTGAGCTCAGTAACGTACATCACACCGTTTAATCCCGTTTTTCATCCCCCTTTCCCTCTCGTCTCCTCTCCCTCAATCTCTTGATCTTCTTTTCATTTGAGAAAGATTTAATTCCTGTGTCTATTTTTATTTTCCCTTTTATGTATAGTTTTGGCTTCTCATGTAAGAGAAACTACACTGTATTTTTAAAAAAACATTGTTGATAGGGTTAAATTGCACTTAAAAAGATTTATAAGTGACATTTTATAATTAAATGATAATTAATTTGTATGTCTATGTAAAGCTAAGGAAAGTACTTTTTTTTCCTGTTTGTACACATCCCCAACAAATCCAGTTATGATGTCCATGGACCACATATGGCTGCTACCATAGTATATGGAGACAGGAAATTAGCATATTTATCTTAATAAGCTAATACTAGAAAATTGGATTCAAAATTAGGTTTATAATATTCTATGTTTAAGAATTAAGCAATTTTGCTATTTTTAAAGTTTATCAACAAACAAATTTTGTATTATAATAGTTACTTAAAAACTTTTTAAAAGTTGTTCTTACTGCAAAACTTTTCCAATGTTTTGTTTTACTCAATGCTAGACGTAGTAACATTTAAAAGTAGTCTTGGCTACAGAACAAAGTCATGTTTGTGCCAACTAATCTCTTCTTGTAGAACCAACTAATGCAGGTTTGATTTGTCAACATTTGTCAATGTATCCATAGCTATCAGTAAAGCAGATTAACAAATAATCAAATTATATTGGAATAAAAATATATATTCAAAGAAGTTTTCTGACTTCCTCATTCGATGGATGAAAGTGGCTGATGGCGCATTAGCAAGTATTGTGAGAATGCAGACTATTGAGATTGTCCTTGAAGTGCTGTTCAGTTAGGTTTGATTAGGAGAAGATGCCACATTTCGGGGTCTTACTTGACATCCTCCTGGTAGCTGACAAAGAATTGTGGTGTATATTGTCTATTCCTATGCACTCATTATTTCTGCTAAAATTGCCAGGGACGTGTAGACTCAGGACACTAAATACTCCAGTTTTTGTTCCATTGTCTTGTGTGTACTGTGTGTTTTAAAGTTATTATTTAAATCATGATTACATTTACGTATGTAACCAATATTGACTCGGGCTAATTAGAGGAAGTATTTTCAGAATGAAAATTACTTACAGTGAGTTTCTGATATTAGTAGCTTTGGGGAAGGATGGTAGGCAGGGTTCTGATAGCAACATAATTCTTTTAGTACACTCAGCATACTGGAGAATTGGGGGATCTTGGATGAATATCATAATGAAAACTAGCTCTTGAACTGGAATAGCATGGGCTGCGGGTGAGGGGTGATCCGCAAGCCCCTTCGTGGTGCAGCTCCTCCGCAGTCCCTTCTGGTGTAAATGTGTCTACCTCTGTCTTGTCTTCCAGTCCTCCACAAGCAACCAAGAGAAGTGTGTCTCTGTTTGCTGGAGCTTGGTCGGATCGCAGCCAGGTAGGTCACACTACGACCACTGTGCCAAGACATTTCCCACCGCAGTGTCCGAGCAACCGGGAAGCTTAATGGCTTTTCACGACTGACATTTCACTGGATTTTGAGGAGCTACTTGTTCAAATGGGATGGCTGCGAACATGAGGAAGGCTGTTGTTTAAACTAAGTATGCTACTGATATTTTGAACACCACCATCTCCTTGTCAGAACGCTATGACTAAGCTTGTGTTAATATCCTTTAATCAACTACATTTCCCTTTAAACCTTTCATGTAGGGCGTGTGAAAGAGGATTTTGCACATGGTTTTATGGGGCAGCTAACATTTTTCAAGCCTATTTTCACTCTGAACTTTCTTTGTCCTTCACACTTCTGCTTGCTGTTTATTCTTCAGTAATTTTCAGCTTCCTTTTCCTCTAGTCCTGTGTGAAACCCCTCTTCCCTCACATCTTTTAGTTTCTCCTTCTAAATGAAGAGATAGCTTGAAAATCATTCCGCTTTTCTCAGAGAACATCTTACCTAGAGTCATATGTGAAAACTACACTCTCCCAGGAAGGGAAACAAAAGTATCTGTAGCTGAATATTTAGTGGAGAAGGGCTTATCAGGGCAGCAAACTTAAATTGGTGTCTTATTTTCCCATTTGTCATTTCAGAGACCAACAGGAAAGGCTACTGGTAGCTTCATGAAAACCAAAGAATAAGAAATGAATACATAAGTATTTGAAAGGCTCGTAATGCAGAAGAAAAATTCAGAATTAACTAGATGTTTTCTGACCTATGCCTGCCTCTTCTCTTAGAGTTGGGGTCAGATGAACCAGTAAAACACCGTAAGAGACAGCAGTAGTAATGCATTCTCAAATAGAGAATTTATGTAGATAATCAAGGAAAAAATAATGAATGGATGTGAAGAAATTACTGCATAGTTAGAAAACCAACTGTCAAATGAACAGAACTTTCTACCCTCCCCCATGATAAATAGAAAATTGTAATCTGTACTGAGAGAAATTATTTAAATTGTCATAGTCAGTAGAATTTTAGTGAACTGCACATCAAGTATAAATTTCATTTTACCCCAGAGATTGGACTGAGAGGAATTGCTTTATTTTTAAAAATTCATATTAAATATAGCTGAACACTAGTCAACATGACATAAGGACAAGGTTCTACTGCTTCCGAGGCCTCCAAGCCCTCTGCCCAACCTCTTGGGGATTTGGGCCTCCAGGAAGAACAAATCGAGTGGGAGCAGAACTGGTGACCCAGGAGCTCTCCTCTAAGACATAGAAAGTTAACTCTTCACAAAGGAAGATCAGACACAAAGGCAAATCCCAGTCCATGAGCTGGTGCACCTGAAATGCTCCTATTAAAGAAACAGAAACTGTGGAATTGCCTAGGATTCCTCTTACTATTATTTGCTACAAGTATGTCCTGAAATATGCATAAAATGTTGCTTTGTTTACCAAAGCAGAGATATCACATTCACAAAGTATTTCTGAAAGTTACAAGGTACACAGAGAGAGTTGTCCCATCTCTAAAATTACTTGGTATTTGTCCTTTCCTGCTCAGCTAGTTAATTATTTCCTGACTTTTAGGCACAAATTTTACTTTGTAATTATACCTTTTCTTACACAAACACTCTGATTAGGAATGAAAGCTTTTAATTATGGCTGGGTAATCAAAGGAGAATACAGAATAATGAGAGAAGAAGGTTGAGTAATGAAAGAAATGCCTTTAATAATCATGTTTCTTCCATCCTTGAGTCTGGCATCATCCGTTCTTTGCCATAAGATGCAAAACAAATTAAAAGGAATGGAAAAGAATCTCAGTGGGCCCATCCATTGTAAGGTGGGACATTGTGTGCAGAATTTCCCTCATCACAAATGCTTTAAATTTGTGATTATTCTAGGCTACTCCACACTCACCCACATTTTGTGATCATGAAAAAAATAGACATCATAAAAAGTACTGATATTAGGGTGGGATAAAGTAAAGATCAAGATCCCCTTACATGACATATTGATTTTCTCATGTTTGCCTTTTGTGTTCCTCACACACTTGAGTGTGGTGAAGTATTGCACTCTTTGCCAACGTAAAAGAAGAGAAGTTGTTGTGTTAGTCAAGGAACTACTTTTGCTCCTGTGTGCAACATGGGGATAAACAGGTGATACCAGTTAAGTGGGTTGGACACTGAAGGATGATTGCCTATGCAATTTTCTCTGTGTGTGTTTTTGGATTTTTTTTTTTCTTTTTTGTACTGGGAACTAGACTCAGGACCTTGAGATTGCCAGGCAGGTGCTGCGCCACGGAGTTATATCCCATCCCAGGGTTTTTTCTTTTGATGGAATTTCTATTGTGCTTTACTAATAAAAATCAAATGTCACTACCAAACTCTTGTGTTAGAGCCCAGTAGTTAAAAAAAAAAAGAAGATAGACATCCTTCCCAGGCTGATGGCACTGAAGTTTGCCTCAAGTATGTCTGTTTCTGTCTGCTTACATCTTTGCTTCATCCTCGCTCAGCTCCTCTGCAGAGGATTGCACAAGAAAAGAAATTAAAACAGCTTGAGTGAAAACTAGAAGGGATTTTGGAAGAGTTCTCAAGAATCACAGCATTCATTTGCGTAGAGGACAGATGAGTTCTGTTGTCAGGAAAATCCCGAATGAAATTGTATGAGCGCTGTGCCCTTGATCACGGATGGCGCATGCTTTCTTGTACTTGGCTCTCAGTATCTACTCCTCCACCTTTCATAAATGCCATCTTTAACACGTCAACCTCGCTGCAGAGCTGGTTCCTAGGATGGCTCTGATTCTCCGCATCTCGCTTCTGCCTGAGCGAAGCCAAGCTCCTCCCAGGACCAGGGGCTTCTGAGTTGCGAGATGGAAGACTTAAGACATTTTAAGGGCTGGTCAGACAGCTCAGTGGACTAACGTGCCTGCTTCAGCAGAGCGCGGTGGCCAGGCTACGGCTCTCGGCTTGCCCTGCTGGCCCCGCCTCTGGGGCGCACTCAGACAGCGATTGACACTGGGCGTGGTGGCGCGCACCTGTAATCCCAGCGCTTGAGAGGGTGAAAACAGGAAGATGGCTGTGAGTCCGATCTACGTAGTGAAACCCTGTACACCTTGTACACCCTGCCCTAAATTTTTTTTAAAAAACACAATTATTTTAATTCCCAGGGGTAAAACTTTTATTTTTAACTAAATAGAGTTATCATTCCTGGAGAGTGGAAATCTCTGCTAATTTTAGAAATATGTCAGTTTTTAAATGTAAATATGTCTTATGAAAACCAAGGTACTCAACAAGAGCAGCCCAGTGAAATCTCAAATTTTAATGACAGTCTTTTGACGTTAATCTCCAAAAAAGTTACTTGAAGTAGACTTACAGGCTGACTGCAAATTTAAAATTATTTTTGTAATAGACACGAAAACCTCTGATGTTTTAGTTCATTGTCATAATCAAGCATCAAATTCACAGTTGAACTTCTAATAGTTTTTGAGCACTACTTTGATTTGGGAAACATTTCACAGCAACTCAAAAGAAAATTTGGTATGAGCATTTTATCTAATTTTTTTTTTTTTGCGGAACCGGGGATTGAACTCAGGCCCTTGCGCTAACAAGGGAAGTGCTTATCCCACTGAGCCATCTCCCCGGGCCATTTTTATCTAATCTTTTATTGCAATTCCTGGCCTGGTGAGCAGAAGTTTTGTTTGAATGTAAAGTATTTTTATATCAAGATTATTGATTATTCACCTTAAAGCATTTGAACTACTATGAATTTTATATGCTTCATAATCAAATATTTTTTGTAATCCTCAAATCTATCTTTAAGTTGCTTCAAAATAGATGATAAATTGGGTAAAAGTTATCTTGCAAGAGTCTATAAACTAATACATGCTATAAAAAGAAATAGTCTGTAAAATTCATTTGTCTATAGAATTTGTTCCTTGAATGCTAATAAAATAGGTTACAGATTTTTTTTTTAAATTTCAGAACTGCATTCTACTGAAGGAAGTCTTCTAAATACACTGAGAAAATTGTCTAGTCTCCAGTTTGGGGATTCAATTATTTCATATGGATTAATCTAAACAGTTATGACAGAAGAATGAGAAACTCATTCCTAGAATCTCATTAGAAAGTTATTAATCAAGAAATCCTTCCTCTAACATTTTGTTTTCTTAATGACAGAAAAATAAGTATTTGGCCAGCGTATTTTTTGTCCTGATTTTTATACCACTGAGGTTGACAGGAATGAGAACTTGGTTTTCTAGCAGCACCCTTCATGAGCTCATGGTTAGACTTTTACATAATTTGAGAACACCAGGTTCTCCCTCTGAAGCTTGTAGTTGGAACAGAATGAGCCAGATGAGTTTGTGAAAACCTTGTAGACAAAATAGAAATGTGAAGTGCTAAAGGGAAGTGCTATGGGAAGGAAGGTGCACCAGCTTTTTGGAGAATAGAAAAGAGTTTTGTCTGATGGCTAAGTTGGCTTGCAGGTGTGAGTCCTCAACCCCACGGGGATTTCATGATTTACAGCCTGTTGACAACTCCAGACAGACAGGAAGCCAATGAATGGTATTTAAGTGTGCATTTTGGGACTGGCTAGCTGTATTTTAGGCAGCTTGAAGTATTCAAACGCCAATATAAACAGAGATTTGGGGCTTATGGTTGATTTTCTATGTTTAATGGCATAGCTAATTTTCAGCATTTCCAGATAAAGAAACATCTCCAGAGGCAAGATTTTCCACGTGTGACTTGGTACCAATTGTATTCAAACCTAGTCTGCTTTGTTTGTGTTGGACATAGACTTGAGCCTGTTGGTACTCTAGGAGCACGAGTATTATAACTTGACTTCATTAAACAAGGCACAACTCATGAAATCTTGTTCTTAAAAGATGGCTTGCGTCCACCAGCAATTACAGATGAAATCACATGTTCCTCTTGGCCTAACTTCTACTTGTAAATACAGTATTTTCCCTTGTGATTGACTGTGAGTTGGCTGTGAATTGTGTGTGAAATTGCTCCAGACTCACTACCAAGTTTGTGTTATTCTCTTAAGAATATTCAGCAAACACTCTTTTATACAACATTCATGGAGCCAGGAATGCACAGAAGTTTAGAGAGATTGGAAAAGAGTTCTTACTGAGGTTCACCCAGCTAGCCAGAGGCTGAGCTGAGCTTATAACTTGATTTGTACTGCTCCAATCCTGAAATATCTCTGATATTTCACAATTCTAGAATGCTTTTAAAGAAAAACCAGGTCCTTTTCAAAGGACATAACAGAAGTGATAGTACTACTTCCCCTCTCAATGGTACTTTATTTCTGAGGCTATTAACCATTTGTCACTTCATGGGGGTGTTTTGAATAAAAGGAAGATCCACTAACAGAAATTTAGGCTTACAGTTTCCTCATTGTACAGACTTTATTTAGTAAATTAGATTGTAAACATCAATGTCAGGGGTTGTGCTGTGCATCCAATACTGTACTGGGCATATAATGCACACTAGAGTCATTTCTTGGAAAAATATTAAAATGTAGGAATTTGAACTCTTCTTTTGCAATTGAAATAAAATGAAAGTGCAGAAAACAAATGTATGTCAAGATGCTCGGAAGTACCAGACTCATGGAAGATTTTCAGCAGTTGCTGCTTTTCCAAACTTTATCCTCCTTTCTTTCTGCTCTGTTATCATGGACCTCAAGGGAATATTCTTTCCTGATAGGAAATAGATGTTAGAAACTAAATGATTTGCTCAATGTAAGAAACAGGTTAGTGACATCATTAATTCAGGTGTATGTCAAAGAATAATAAGCATGTAGTATCTCCACATGAGCATTATTGGTTCATATCCATGGTAATGAGAGGCTATCTTGTAGAGTTTAGCATAACTAATGTTAACTCAAATATTTGTTAAGATGTGTTTTAGTTTTGGATAGGGCTAATAGTCTTTTAGGAGAACTGTTTATTTTTTTTTTCTTGGCAGACCATTTTTGTACATTTAAAGGTGACATTTTATTAAAGTGATACACGCGTCCAAAGCCATGACACTGGATTCACATTTGAAACCTGACACCACTGTTATATATGAATAAAGAAATTTTAAAGAATTTATATGTAGCTGTTAGGTACCTGCTATGTGCTAACATTGATGCCAGACGCAGAGACAGACCGTGGTCTCTACTATTACACAATTTGCAACATTGCTAGTGTCATTAATTTGTTAGTATGTGCAGAAGGTTAGAAATATGAAAAATGGTGGTTAGGTTTTTATAGCCAGTAATTACACATCATGGAGTAAAAATGACTTCCAAAACTAGAGGTCGTCCACCAAGTGGCAAGTTTTCAGTTGAACTGTGCCATCTGGAGCTGCTCGGTACTGCTCTCTAATACAAATTTCCCAGATAGCATAGGGCATCTAAGTAAATTCTGAAAAAAAAAAAAAATAGAGGGCTGGTGAGATAGCTGAGTGGACTAAAGCACCTGTGTAGGCAAGCACGAGGACCATAGTTTGATCTCTGGTGCCACATGCTGCACGAGCCCCGCCTCCAGGCAGGCCGAGTGAGCCAGAGTCTGAGCACAGTGGTGCACACCTGTAATCCCAGCACTGGGGAGGCTGAAAGCAGGAGGACCATTACGAGTCTGAGCTGCATAGTGAGACCCTGTAACAACAACTACATTTTAAGAAGACTACTCCCCCACAAAAAAAGAGAAACAAATAGAAAATAAAATAAAAGACATCAGATGAAATAAGAAATATCACTTTCATAATTGGAAAGGTCCAAGCTGACAGACATGGCTAGTGTCTGTAATTGAACTCTAGATCAATTAACTTCCTCATTGCAATCAAGATGAATCAGGGCGGTGGGTGGCCTATGGGGTGCAGCCGGCGGCAGCTTCTGCCTGAAGAAAAAGGTAAACTGAGGCAGGCATGCTCAGATTCTTCAAATCCCTTCATTTCACTGTGGAAGAGTGAATCATGACGCAGGAAATCCAGCAAACAAATAAATCAAGCACCCTCTCTAACAGCAAACCATCAAGAATGGAGAAATTGCTTCCTCTTGACATTTGCATTAAGCACATGTTCAACGGTGCCAATTAAAATACTAAGCCATTCAAGAACAAAAGCTTAAAATTTTACATATAATGATGCTTTAATACAGTATTCAATGTAATTATTTTTTGCTTGTAGACTATTTGCTATGTAAATTATCTGCAACAATTTTTTAATCTCCAAATGACTGCTTTCTCTCCTCTCTAATAAAAAGTCACCAGAGGAAAATGCCAAGGAAACTTGACACCAGCTCCGAAATAAAAACACAGGAATTTGAGTTCTTTATTTTGCTCCTAGCTATTTATCCACCTTCTTGAGAGGTGTATGTTTTGTTGTCATTGTGTATGTTTTTTATTTTTACTGTTTTGATACAGGGTCTTGCTACACAGCTTAGACTCGTAGTGATCTTTCTGTCTCACCCTTACCAGGATTGGGATTACACACATGCATCACTGAGCCTGGTTTCGGGTCCAGCATGATGTTCTCGGGGATGCTGGGCTGACACAATATGTGGTACCAGGGATTGAACCCAGTCCTTGCACTGGCCAGGCAGGCGCTTAGACTGTTGAGCTATCTCCCCAGCCTGAGAGACATGTTCTTATCTGTTACAATGAACAAGTGGAACTTGATGACCCCCAAATAATTCACAACTCTCAAATTCTAGAATTATCTTTGCTCTCCTATCCTTACCTGCAGCTGATACGTGTCTAAGAAACTAACTCAACTTTAAATTTAGCTTAGAAAAATATAACGAGGAATGAGACAAAGCACGTATCTCTTTCTTTTTGAATTTCTATGTGTCTGATAATGAAGAAATTATAATTTTTTCATATTATTATTACATGATGATGAATTTATTATGGGAAGCTGGCAAGTGCATCCATCCTAAACAGTTTCCTTCCCATTCTCCTTTCTTCCCTTCCCTTCCCCTGTGTGGTTGACCCTTCCTTGTCTCCTGAAGTCTACCTCCTGGTTTCCAGTCCTGACTCCTTCCGAGCAGCTAGTTTTACTTAACAGTTCCACACATTTTCCTCCCGATGCCATGATCTCATTCTTCTGTATGGCTGAGTAATATTCCATGCTGTATACATACGCTCACTTTCTTCTTTCATTTGTCTGTTCATGGGTATCTAGGCTGTTTCTACAGCTAAGCTGTCATGAATTGTGCTACTTTTCCTCCGTAACTAAAAAACTTATGTTCAAAAAGGATTTTCATTACAACACGAATACTGTTAAAACTGCTCAATGTTGAAATTAAAGATAAATATCCCAGAATTATTCATGTTATTGACTCATTCCTATAGTGCATTGACTATTTTATTACCATGTTACATGTATGTTCGTTTATGTGCATATATA